TTCCTCTGCCTGGCTTATTTTAATTAACATAGTGACCTCCAGTTCCATCCATGTTGTTGCAAATGACAGGATCTTATTCTTTTTATGGCTGAACAGTATTCCATTGTGTATATGTGCCATATTTTCTTTATTCATCTGTTTATGGACACGTAGGTTGCTTCCAAATCTTGGTTGTTGTGAGTAGTGCTCAGCAAACATCAAAGCTATCTCTTCACTATACTGATTTCCTTTCTTTTGGGTATATACCTAGGAGTGAGGTAGAGTAACTTATTATCAAACCCTATCTATGTTCTCAACAGAGATTCATAGTCTCAGTTGTAATTTTTTCTAACTAAAAAGGATTTTGAACTGTCAGTTCCTCTTGTACTAACTTTTCTGAATAGATAATCCAGTATTTTTGCAAATAACTTCAGTTAAGTTGGTTGCTAGTCAACATGGCAACCTAAGCTTAATCTTAATTTTACCTTCAAGACTGAAAATTTAAGCATCATTTACTAGCAAACTGCTTTCAAGTATTGATAAGAATTATTTATTCATTCATTCATTCAATGGATGTTTATTTACTGCTTCTTCTCTGTCAGGTACTCTGCTGAACACTGGCAATAAAAATAGGACCAAAATAGGCACCCCTTGCCTTCATGGTGTTTACAGCCTAGAGGGAGAACCAGCCAGTCACACGATGACTCACACTAGAATGTGTGCTCCATGAGCGAGAGGCCGTTCATCTTGTTTATGACTGCGTCTCCAGCACAGTAACTGCACATAGGAGGCACTCAATAATAGTTATTGTTTCAATCGAGTTGGCAAGCTCTGGGCCCATGAGCCACATCTGGCCCACCACCTATTTTTGGAAATAAAGTTTTGTTGGCACACAGCCACACTCATTCTGCTTTTATGCCACAGCAGCAGAAATGAGTAGTTGTGACAGAGACTATATGGCCCACAGAGCCTGAAGCATTTTGGCTATTAGGCCCTTTACAGAAGTGGTTTGCCACCACCCTGGTTGGTCTAAGTGACTTGAAAGGAAGACTGTTACAATGAATGTATGAGGGAGTCATAACTATGGAACAGAAATGTCCCAAATTAAATGTCCATGGATTTGAGATAGGAAAAAAGAATAGACATTGAGCCCAGGTAGGGGATGGCACCTTTAACAGCCCTGTCTTTGGGAGGGCAGGACACAGATGGCACCTTGAGGAACTGTCTGGAGCACAGAGCAAGAGAAAGAATGATATGAGCGGCCTCAAAAGAGACCCAACCGTTGGTGACCCACTGGGCATTCATTTGGAAAAGAGCACTGTATGCAATGTTGGGCACATTGTTGAGGGGGTGGGGGGCACAGGAGGGGGTGTGGGTAGAGACCTGTTGGAAAGTTATTGACAGTAATCCAGTCAAGATATGAGGGTGCTTGGAATAGGGGTAGTTAGAGGGAAGTTTTGTTTCTTGTTTTAATGGAAAAGGTTCTAGAAATACCCGGTATGTAAACTCAACAGGCATGACTTCATCCTTATGGCATCCTGTATGGCCATCCTTATGGCACTTCAGCTGTTAGGGATGGATATTGGCCTTTGTAGAAGTGATTTGCTTCCTGCCAGTATTGCCCTGTTGGTGGTTATTTGGCTGTGGCATAGTTGAGATCTACACCTCAAAGCCTGGGAAGGCCGGAGTAAGAGACGTCATGGTAGTGGAAGTGGTTCTCTTAGAAGACAGATGTGCTTGCTCAAAGCAATCTGGGCTGTACAAGTGCAGCTGATTGGTGACTTCAGCTAGAACTCAGATTGTAGCACTGTGCATTTATGGTTTTGTTTGCCCAGGAAACATATATTGTTTGCCTATATGTGGCAAGCATTTTGAATGGAAAACTAAAAAGATATTTGCCATGCCCTCAAGGAACTCACCTTCAGAAATTAGACACTTAATTCAGGGATCAGAAGGGTTTTTGATCAGACTGCTCTGCCACCTGATTTGGATCACATTTAAGCATAAAAATTAAAAATTTTAAAAATATTTTTTCAATAGAAGTGTACAGAAAATAATGTAACTATATTCACAATAGAGATTTAACATAATAACATGCCAAATTTGCTTCAGGACTCTGTTTTAGAAATGTTATAGGTATCACCCTCCAACTCCATTCTGGTCCCCATCCCACCCCCAGAGGGAACCACAATTCAAAAATCATAGTGTTGTGTCATTTTCATCTAGAGTGTGACATTAAAGTGCATTTCTTAATTATTAATGAGGTTGATTATTTTTTCATATGTTAATGGCTTATGAGTTTTCTCTTTTTTAAATTGCCTGTTCCTATCCTTTTCCCATTTCTGATTGAGTTGTTGGTCTTTTTCTTACTGATTTTTAGGATTCTTTTTTTGAGATGGAGTCTCACTGTGTTGCCTAGGCCGAAATGCAGTGGCTCAATCTCGGCTCACTGCAACCTCCACCTCCCAGGTTCAGACGATTCTCCTGCCTCAACCTCCGGAGTAGCTGAAATTACAGGCGTGCACCACCACTCCCAGCTAATTTTTGTATAAGTAGAGTCGAGGTTTCACCATGTTGGCCAGGCTGGTCTTGAACTCCTGACCTCAGGTGATCCACCCGCCTCAGCCTCCCAGAGTGCTGGGATTACAGGCGAGAGCCCCTGCGCCTGGCCAGGAATTCTTTAATCTGATAACCATACATTATCTGTTGTATCTTCTTCCTGCTGTGGCTTGTTTTTTAGCTTTCATTATATGATATCTTTTGTTATATAGATGTTTTTAATATTAGCATAGTCAAATTTATCATCTGTTTATGTCTTATATATTTCATGTCTTCTATAAGAAGATACAATGTCCAGGGTCATAAAGATGGTCTCCTGTGTTTCCTTAGTAAGCTTTAAGTAGTTTTGCTTTTCCTAATTAGCTCTTTACTTTATCTAGAATGTATTTTTGTATACGATATAAGGGATCTACTTTCATTTCATGTGGCTAGACAGTTGTCCAACAGCATTTATTAGCCACCAGCTTATAATGCTATCCTTCTTTCAAACCTGTCATGTAACTGAGTGTGAACCTGTCAAATTGGGGGCCGAGCAATCCTCAAGTCCTGGAAGTAGACCATTAACAGAGGGCAGATCATTTTACAGTGTGACTGTCGTGGAATGGAACCAATAATACTGTGTATTCAAATGGCAACTCACGTATGGGAAAGAATGCATTGGTTGTTAACCCCCTGCTTTCTGGGTGTGGGTTGCAGTGAGTGCTATCCTAGTCAAGAGATAGCCTGCCTTATGGCACAACCTGTCCCTGAGGGAACCCAAACTGGTGGTAAAATGAAATGTGACAATATTTGCTGGCAACAAGCCATAATCTCTGTGTGTTAACTTGGTCTTATTTTCTGTGTTAAATGAGGAATGGCTCATTTATCTCTTTAGTCAGTTATTATATTAGATAGTTTTTCGAGTATGTGCGAAACCAAATTGTCATAAACCAGGGTTATAGATCCAACCCCTAATATTTGGCAGTGAAAAGAACCTAGTCATTTTATAGCAGTTTCAACATTTAAAGTTTTCTGTTGCCTGTCTTCATTTTTCCTTTGTAATTTTCACCTGGAATTACATACCTACTTTGAAATCACCTAGAGCATAATTATAAAATCATTACATTGCTCTTAAATCAAGCAATAAAAATGTCTTTTAGGTTGATATTAGCTTTAGTATGGTCTTTCTAATGATAATGATAATTTTTTACACACTTCCTTTTTTTCCTTTACATCAAACTGTAAAAGAGAATTTATTTGGGAAATTCATGTTTTAACTGTATATAAGATTTTTCTTGTTAAAATAAATTTGAAGAGAACATAATTAAAAGATTCTAAAAGAGAAGAAAATATTTTATTGCAATTTATTTGTATATTGTAGTATTTAGAGAACTTCACCAAGGATTTCTAAATCATATATGTGGTTTGTTGTATATTTAGGTTAAATGATTTTTTTAACATTTCTTTTACTTTATTTTTGAGTGATACATACTTTGAATGAAGTCTGCCAAAAAGTTGATTGGAATATAAGTTTGACTGCGATGTTGGAAACACTTAAATAATTATTAAAGTCATAGGAAATAAAATGCAGATCCACACAGGGGATTCTTTAAAAGGACCCGAAGAGTTAAATACTGTAAGAAGATGACATGTAGTTATTCTAGGGATCTCCAAAGAAAAGACTAAAGAAATAGAAAACAAGGATAGAGGGAATCCTTAGAGATCCAAAAGATAGCACCTGTAGGGCTTTCTTTTTCTTCTTTTTTCTTTTTTTTAGTGATGTCCTTGAGCTACAGATTTTTTTTTTTATGAATGTGCAGGAGACAGTGATAAACCAAATTGCAGATAAGATCAGATAAAGTAGTATACATCTAATTAAACATTTCTAATCCTTACTATTTTTGATAACATTTTGATAGCATTGTCTCCTTGTCTTTTCTCTCTTTCCTTCTGTCACCACTTCCCCCACCCCAAATATTGGTTCTGTTATGATTCTGCAATGCAATTTACAACTTTTTCCTACTGAAAGCCATGTTTCGCCTCTATATAATACTGTAATCTAATTAGAGATCTTAAAGAGAACTATAAGCTTTATTCAAAACTCCACGTGAACTTACTGTCATTGCCAGCATTTCTCAGTCTCTATATTTATAGGAGTTGCAAAGTCATGTATCTTTCAGAGCTGACTTTACTACAGATGCTTTCAGAGATGCTGATGTGCTAATGTGCATTGTGAATATTCTCCAGGGGGAATAATAGTATAGTGTAGTGGTAAGAATTGATATAATTTTAAAAACATTAATGCTTCTTAAAATGGGATCTATTAAGAAGACAAATAGCTTTTTTCTTTAAGTCATTTTTTAGTGCTTGTCATTCAGATTTGAAGACTTGAAATAAAGAGCTTCCCCAAAGACTAGTTAACAGTTGATTCATTGACAAATGGGTAGAAAATCTAATTTTGAATTTTGTTTCATCTTTTTCAGATCTCAGTCATAGTGGATTGGCAGATCATTATGAAAATTCCCACTGGGGACAGCAGCCTACTTACAGAAGCGAAGCCAACTGCAGCTGGGATAAAGTGATAATAGATAGGACTGACAAGGAGGCGTGGCCTTCCATCACAGGAACAGAGACTGAATCTGCCTCAGAATGTACTACAGACACTGACTCTGCCTCCAACTGTGGCTCAGAGAACAGTAGCATGGCTACAGGGAGTGCCCAGGGCAACTTCACTGGACATACCAAGAAGACAAATGGCAATAATGGCACCAATGGCGCACTCGTCCAAAGCCCTTCTAATCAGAGTGCCCTTGGAGCAGGGGGAGCGAACAGTAATGGAAGTGCGACCAGAGTGTGGGGTGTAGCCACAGGCTCCAGCTCTGGCCTGGCTCACTGCTCTATCAGTGGTGGGGATGGAAAAATGGACACTATGATTGGAGATGGGAGAAGTCAGAATTGCTGGGGTGCTTCCAACTCCAATGCTGGCATTAATCTTAACCTTAATCCTAATGCCAACCCAGCTGCCTGGCCTGTACTTGGACATGAAGGAACCGTGGCGACAGGCAACCCTTCCAGTATTTGCAGTCCAGTCAGTGCCATAGGTCAAAATATGGGCAACCAGAACGGGAACCCAACAGGCACTTTAGGTGCTTGGGGAAACTTGCTGCCGCAAGAGAGCACAGAACCACAAACGTCCACTTCTCAGAATGTGTCTTTCAGCGCACAACCTCAGAACCTTAACACTGATGGACCAAATAACACTAACCCCATGAACTCTTCACCCAACCCTATCAATGCAATGCAGACAAATGGACTGCCAAACTGGGGCATGGCTGTTGGTATGGGGGCCATCATCCCGCCCCACCTGCAAAGCCTTCCTGGTGCTAACGGATCATCAGTTTCTCAAGTCAGTGGGGGCAGTGCTGAAGGAATAAGCAATTCTGTATGGGGACTGTCCCCAGGTAACCCTGCCACAGGAAATAGCAATTCTGGGTTCAGTCAGGGGAATGGAGACACTGTGAACTCAGCATTAAGTGCTAAACAAAACGGATCCAGCAGTGCTGTGCAAAAGGAAGGAAATGGAGGAAATGCTTGGGATTCAGGACCTCCTGCTGGTCCTGGAATACTCGCCTGGGGAAGGGGCAGTGGCAACAATGGCGTTGGTAATATCCATTCGGGAGCTTGGGGCCACCCCAGCCGAAGCACCTCTAACGGTGTGAATGGGGAATGGGGAAAGCCCCCAAACCAGCATTCCAATAGTGACATCAATGGGAAAGGATCAACAGGGTGGGAGAGTCCTAGTGTCACCAGCCAGAACCCTACCGTGCAGCCTGGTGGTGAACACATGAACTCCTGGGCCAAAGCGGCATCTTCTGGAACTACAGCAAGTGAAGGAAGTAGTGATGGTTCTGGCAACCACAATGAAGGAAGCACTGGGAGGGAAGGAACGGGAGAAGGTCGAAGGCGAGATAAAGGGATTATAGACCAAGGGCATATCCAGTTGCCAAGGAATGATCTTGACCCAAGAGTTCTATCTAATACTGGTTGGGGACAGACTCCTGTAAAGCAAAACACTGCCTGGGAATTTGAAGAATCCCCTAGGTCTGAAAGGAAAAATGACAATGGGACAGAGGCCTGGGGTTGTGCAGCTACTCAGCCTTCAAACTCAGGGGGGAAGAACGATGGGTCCATCATGAACAGTACAAATACCTCTTCAGTATCTGGGTGGGTCAATGCGCCACCTGCCGCTGTGCCAGCAAACACAGGTTGGGGAGACAGCAACAACAAAGCGCCAAGTGGCCCGGGGGTTTGGGGGGACTCGATAAGCTCTACTGCTGTTAGTACTGCTGCTGCTGCCAAGAGTGGCCATGCTTGGAGTGGGGCCGCAAATCAGGAGGACAAGTCACCCACCTGGGGTGAGCCTCCAAAGCCCAAATCCCAACACTGGGGAGATGGACAAAGATCAAATCCAGCCTGGAGTGCCGGAGGGGGAGATTGGGCAGATTCATCATCTGTCCTTGGACACTTGGGGGATGGGAAAAAAAATGGATCTGGATGGGATGCTGACAGTAATAGGTCAGGGTCTGGTTGGAATGACACCACGAGGTCTGGGAGCAGTGGCTGGGGCAACAGCACAAATACAAAGGCCAATCCAGGTACAAACTGGGGGGAGACTTTAAAACCTGGCCCCCAACAGAACTGGGCTAGCAAACCCCAAGACAACAATGTGAGTAACTGGGGAGGAGCTGCTTCTGTGAAACAGACAGGAACAGGGTGGATCGGGGGGCCAGTACCAGTCAAACAGAAGGACAGCAGTGAGGCAACTGGCTGGGAAGAACCCTCTCCACCGTCCATTCGCCGCAAAATGGAAATTGATGATGGTACCTCAGCTTGGGGGGACCCAAGCAACTATAACAATAAAACTGTAAACATGTGGGATAGAAACAACCCGGTCATCCAGAGCAGTACCACGACCAATACCACCACCACCACCACTACCACGAGCAACACCACACACAGGGTCGAGACGCCGCCACCGCACCAGGCCAATACTCAGCTGAATCGATCACCATTGCTCGGTCCAGGTATGAAAGGTATTTCATGTTTCTTTACAAGTTAAAAAAAAAAAAGCTTATTCTCATTATATATTCATGAATACTCTGAGTAGTGTTTTTTTTTTTTTTTGAGACGGAGTCTCGCTCTGTCGCCCAGGCTGGAGTGCAGTGGCCGGATCTCAGCTCACTGCAAGCTCCGCCTCCCGGGTTCACGCCATTCTCCTGCCTCAGCCTCCCGAGTAGCTGGGACTACAGGCGCCCACAACCGCGCCCGGCTAATTTTTTGTATTTTTAGTAGAGACGGGGTTTCACCGTGGTCTCGATCTCCTGACCTTGTGATCCGCCCGCCTCGGCCTCCCAAAGTGCTGGGATTACAGGCGTGAGCCACCGCGCCCGGCCATAGTGTTTTTTTTTAATAGCAGATAGCATTAAAATAATTTCAGTTCCCTGCAATATTGTTTCTAAAGATTATCCAGTGAGAGCAAAGCAGGATCCTCTGGTGGTTTTCTATTCAAGAAAAAAATATATTAAGCACACTCAGTAGAACATCAAGCGAATGTTTGGGTGGTGGCAGTGGTGGCCTGGGGTGGAGACGATGGATTTGAAGACAATGACAGTGCATGATTCCAAGATTTTGTAACCATTTGGATACAAGAGCAAAGAAGAAGATAGGATAGACATGGCTCAGAACTTGGGCAAGTGTGCAGATGACTGTGTCAGTTCACTGGCATGCCCATGAGCACAGCAGGAGGCTCAGAGCCCGCTGTGTCCAGTGGGGACAATAAAAGGTCCCAGATATGAAAGACCAGTTCTCAGCCAGAGGGGCGAGGTCCAGAGCAGAGAGATTTTAAGGTGGCAAAGTCACGAGCATGTTTCAGAGCTGTTAGAAAGGAACAAATGGAGATGAGAATGAGTGAAGAGGGAAGAGATCCCTGCATCCAGCAGGACAAGGGCACTTCACCCATCTTGCGAAGCAAGGAGCAGGAAAAAGCACTGCACAGGTGGCCCAGGCTGTCATGGCCAGAGGGCCAAGGCCGCCTTCTGGGGTTCTTTTCTCTCTGGGAGTGTGGATAGCAGCCCAGAGTGTGGAGGAAGGCTGGCCAGGAGCAGCGGCATGAGTAGAGGGGGAGCGTGCATTAGCCCATGTAGAGGACAGGAACAGAGAACTGACTTGACTGGGGCCCCTGGAGAGTTGCTGGGCAATGTCAGGGCCCAGAGATCACCAGTGAATTTATTGGGACCTGCCACGTTCTAGGCTGTGCCCTAGTAGCTGGGTAAACTGCAGGGAGCAAAACAGTCAAAACCCTGCCATGGTGGGGTCTAGATCTAGTGAGGGAGGCAACAGCACGTGAATTAAAGTATATACATAGTGTTGGGCGGTGATGGTGCAGGGGAGGAAACAGTAAGCCTGGAAGGTCTGCACGCTGGGGACCAGTGGAGTTGGGGAATCACCATCTTGTGTAGGGCAGCCTGGGCATTTGGGCACCTTTTTGGTTTTTGTCATAAGCATTCAACAGGAGACTGTCCTGCTTGCTACATTAATTCAATTATGACTGCCCTACAGGACCTCCCCTGGCCCACCAGCTGGGCCCTCCAGCCTCCTCATAGACTGCTTGGTAGTTCACTTGTACCTCAGTGAGGTTGCCACATCAGGAGTCCTTTATGGATCCTCAAGACAGTTTTAGCCTCCACCTAACACATCAATGTCACTAAACCAGAGGTCAAAAGCCAGTGGTCCATGGGCTGCACATAGTCCCACAAATGTGCGTTTTTGGCCCACATTTTCTCTGTGAATTGGCATTTTTTAATGCAGATGTTTTATATTAAATTACAGATTTCTGGCTTCATTTGGAAACCTGAAAAGTCTGACACATTGGATTCACATGGCAGCAGTCAGTCAGAGCCACTTGCCTTCATAAGGGCCTGTGCGTTCTCTCCATACAGTGTCACATTGCCCCCCGACCCCTGATGATTCCCAGCACTGAGGCTTTTGATCAGTAGCCGTTGAGCATCATCAAGCTTGTGCTGCTGTTCTTACACTGGGCCTGTTTACGTTAACTGACTGGTTCCTTGGAGTACTTGAATTTGTTATTCCAATTTTTTACTAATATATGACTAATATTTCTAGGCCCTTACATTTTATAAAGTACTTGGGAGGATAAGGAGAAGCAGGAAGAAGGAAAATGAAGGGATTTGAAAAATAAGATTAGGTCGGGCGTGGTGGCTCACGCCTGTAATCCCAGTACTTCGGGAGGCCAAGGCGGGCAGATCATCTGAGGTCAAGAGTTTGAGACCAGCCTGACCAACAAGGTGAAACCCCGTCTGTACTAAAAATACAAAATTAGCCAGGCATGGTGGTGCATGTCTATAATCCCAGCTTCTCAGGAGGTGGAGGCAGGAGAATCGCTTGAACCCGGGAGGCAGAGGTTACAGTGGGCTGGGTTGGGGCCATTGCACTCCAACCTGGGCGACAGAGTGAAACTCTGTCTCAAAAAAGAAAAAGAAGATTCTTCCTAAGTAAGGAATAGTCTGGTGGGACAGGCCAGTAATATCAAATTTAATAGAGTTTAATTAGCGTTATAGTAAAGGTATGCAGAAAGTGATCTGAGAGCCCCCACCTGTAATGCCAGCTACTTGGGAGGCTGAGGTGGGAGGATGGCTTGAGCCCAGGAGTTCAAAGCCTGCCTGAGCGACATAATGAGACCCCATTTCTTTAAACAACAACAAAAAAGCTCCAGGAACAGAATTAATATGGTCATGCATCGCTTAACAATGGTGATACATTCTAAGAAATGTGTCATCAGACAATTTCAGCATTGTGTTAACATAAAGTATAGTTACATAAACCTGGGTGGCATAGCCTCCTAATCACCTAGGCTGTGTGGTACAGGCATTGCTCCTGGGCTACAAACCTGCCCAGCATATTACTGTACTGAATACTGTCGGCAGTTGTAGCACGATGGTAAGTATTTACATAGCTAAACATGAAAAGGGAACATTAAAATATGGTATAAAAGATTAAAAATGGTGCACCTGTATAGGGCACTTACCATGAGTGGAGCTTGCAGGACTGGGAGTGGCTCTGGGCGAGTCAGTGAGTTAGTGGTGAGTGGATGTGAAGGCCTGGGACACTACTGCAGACTACTGTGCACCACTGCAGACTACTGTACACTGCTGGAGACCGCTGCACACTACTGTACACTACTATACACCACTGCAGACTACTGTACACTACTGCAGACTACTACAAACTACTATACACCACTGCAAACTACTGTACACTGCTGGAGCTACTGCACACTACTGTATACCACTGCAGACTACTGTACACGACTGTATACCACTGCAGACTACTGTACACTACTATATACCACTGCAGACTACTGTACACTACTGTATACCACTGCAGACTACTGTACACTACTGTATACCACTGCAGACTACTGTACACTACTATACACCACTGCAGACTACTGTACACTACTGCAGACTACTACAAACTACTATACACCACTGCAAACTACTGTACACTGCTGGAGCTACTGCACACTACTGTATACCACTGCAGACTACTGTATACCACTGCAGACTACTGTACACTACTGTATACCACTGCAGACTACTGTACACTACTATACACCACTGCAGACTACTGTACACTACTGCAGACTACTACAAACTACTATACACCACTGCAAACTACTGTACACTGCTGGAGCTACTGCACACTACTGTATACCACTGCAGACTACTGTACACTACTATACACCACTGCAGACTACTGTACACTACTGCAGACTACTACAAACTACTATACACCACTGCAAACTACTGTACACTGCTGGAGCTACTGCACACTACTGGAGACTACTGCAGACTACTGTACACTACTGCAGACTACTATACACCACTGCAAACTACTGTACACTGCTGGAGCTACTGCACACTACTGGAGACTATTGCAGACTACACTACTATACACCACTATACACCACTGCAGACTACTGTACACTGCTGGAGCTACTGCACACTACTGGAGACTATTGCAGACTATACTACTATACACCAGTATACACCACTGCAGACTACTGTGCACCACTGGAGACTACTGTACATCACTGCAAAGTACAGTTCACCACTGTGCACCATGGGAGACTACTGCACACCACTGGAGACTGCTGCACACCACTGGAAACTACTGCATACCACTGGAGACTACTGCACACCACTGGAGACTGCCGTAGACTTGGTGGACACTGTACACTTTAGGCCACACTACATTTATTAAAAGATACCTTTCTTTCTTCAGTAACACTTAGCTTAAAACACAAACACATTGTACAGCTGTACAAAATTATTTTTTATACTCTTATTCTGTGAGCTTTTTTTTGTACCTTTTAAATTTTTTTGTTAACTAAGACACGAACACACACATTAGCCTAGGCCTGCACAGGACCAGGATCTTCAGTATCACTGTTGTCCACCTCCATACATTGTCCCATTGGAGATGCAGTAACAGGAAGTACAGTAAAGACATAAACCGGTAACATAGTCCTGTATTAGCATCATCGGTTGTGTGTGCTAGACCTTGCTGTGACTGGCCGCACAGTAGGTTCGTTTACACGAGCATGACCACAAACACATGAGAAATGCATTCCGCTGCATTATGATGGGTGCAGCATCATTAGATGATGGGAAATTTTCAGCTCCATTATATATAATCCTAGGGGGCCATTGTCATCTGCGCAGTCAGTTGACCAAAACGTCATTATGCAGCCCATGACTATTTTAAATTGGCTTGCATGTCCCATCTACCCTTAGTGGATAGTCCCAATTTGAGTGCCAATTCCTGGAAGAGCTCAAGCTACAGAGGGCCCTGTGCCTGGCACTGGAGTCTTGCAATAAGTGTGGTCTGGCCATGCTTGGCTGTCATGTATGGAACATTTTTATGGATCGTCTCACACTGAATCTTTACAGCTCCTTGGGCCTCATTTTACAAATGAGACCTAGGAGATTAAGTAGCTCTCCAAGGGTACGTA